TATATATATATATATATATATATATATATATCGAGGGAGAGAAAGAAGTAAAGTAAAAAAGTTCTTATAGGTTGTTAAAAAAGTGAAACCATCTGGTCTTATTGGCGCTTCAACAGTGTACGGAGCTTTTAGTCATGAAATCTTACATGAAATGGCAAAGATCAATGAGAATCCTATTATTTTTGCATTATCAAATCCAACAAATAAAGCTGAATGCACTGCAGAAGATGCTTACCGTTGCACCAGTGTATGTTTGTTAAATCTGTGTTCTTTAACACGTAAAACCATCACATTTAAGCTTGACTTCACATATTATTTGTGAGGGAAAGCTGTAAACTCAGGATATGGGGAAAGAATATTTAGAGACTTATATTTAGAAATTAATTCCAGTAGAAGAAATTAACACTGTCAGAAAAGTCTTTCAAAAATGAGTTTTTCGCGGTACAGTCAAATTGTTGTGCAGTCAGAAGTAAAAATGAGTTGATACAACTTCATGTGTTAAATTTACAACATCTTCACTGATTATGTGTTGCAGGGCAAGGTACTGTTTGCAAGTGGAAGCCCATTCTCAAATGTGAACTATAATGGAAAAATTTTTAAGCCGGGTCAAGGAAACAATGCTTACATCTTCCCAGGAGTTGCTCTTGGAGCCATTCTTTTCAACATACGCCATATCGATGATGAAACGTTTTTAATCGCAGCTCATGTTAGTTTTTTCATGCATATTTTGATAAATAAAGTTGATTAAAACACCGTAAAATGCAGTCAGAAATCAATTCATTTATTTTTATTCGAAGTATGAACTGTTACAATTTCATACCATATTGTTTTGTGTGTATAAAGCAGTTTATGCTTCTGCATTTTAGTCTCAGAATGACAAGCGAATTACGGTATTTGTTCAGAAAATTTTAAATTCATACTTATTTGATAATAACATAATAATTTTAAGGAAGTCGCAAACTGTGTAACAGAGAAGGATTTCAAAGTAGGCCGTTTGTATCCAAGACTAAACCGTATTCGCGAAGTATCAGTGAAAATAGCTGTTGCGATTGGCGAATATGCATATGAGGTTGTTACTGATATTTTGACATGTTCGGGAGACTAAAAGTCATCACTTTATACTTTAATTTTATGAGTGACCTTTCAGTTTTTTATTTGATATCAAAAACTGGTCTCAAGCAAAGAAAGTAGCTATTTTCAAACAACTTATCAGGAATGGTGTCAGTCAATTATGATTCTTTTTCTCTATAGCAGTGCTAATTTGGATGTGGCAAGTTATGTTATCCTACTTTTTTAAGTTCCAATGAATTATGATTTCAGATAGGTATGGCTGGGCTTTATCCAAAACCAGAAAACATGAAGCAGTTTGTGCTTTCTCAGATTTATCAAACCACTTACGATGAACTCATTGATGTCACCTATGATTGGCCAGCTCATGATATGAAGCATGGCTTTCCGGTACCAGTTTCACGTCGAGAAAGTGTTGATGAGTAGAGCTAAATCAACTTTAGCTATGGAAATTTTTCAAATGTTATTTTTCAATCAAAAATTTATCCCAAATAGTATTTTTTTGAGTAAATTAGTATCTCTGAATTTGAAATTTTGCTTATAAGTTATGTTGTGGCAATTTCGTTATGAATCCTTAGATTCTAGGTAATCTTTGGTGTGGATCTAAATTGTAATGTTATTTACTTACAAAACAATTTGTACATATTTAATTGCTGCAGAGAATATCCACATGGAATAACATGCTGAACATTTTTACATCTCTTATCATAGCGAAAGCTTTAATACTCTTCAAGTAACCTTTTTAAATTTCTCGTTTTTTCTTCTGATTTTTGTTTCTCTTCACTTTAATTTTTCTTCGCTGCTTATGGTTGCATTTTCATTCTATCCTGCCCATTCTCAGTGATCTCTAATGGAAGGTGAGCTGATCCTAATTTATTTGTATGTATCTGATCGATCCAGTTTCCTTTTATATCACATATACTTTGTAATGTCATTAGAAGCGTCTGTGTTATCAAAAAATGTTTGCATAAACCTCTGATCTGAAAAACAGTTGTGCAAGTCAAGCCCTTATTATTCTGTAATCTACTAAGAAATGACAAATAACTTGACTTGGATATCATTTCAGTGAAATTTAGGAAAGTTACAGCTTATGCATTCCAGCTGAAATGAAGGTATGATAATTGAAATTCATCATACTAGGTGATTTTGTATGTATTTGGTTTATGTTTAATTGAATGGTAATGATTCTGTCGGTTACGAAAAAAATATGTAAGTATGAATATCGAAAAGGTGTTTTAAGTATGCAAATTGACCATGAGTTGTATATTTATCAAGGTTTGTGACGTGAGGACAGTCTGCTTATTACCTTCGCTAATGATGAAGTCTTGTCTCCCTACACGTTTGGTCAGAGTTGATTAGAAACGTTTTGTTTATTATTCACTTTACGCAAATTAAACATTTGTTTGTTAGTATCGAGCATATTAGACTAATTATAATGCCAGTTCATTATTCTTGAGTATTTTCTCTCAGGAAAAGTACTTTGGTAATTAAGGTTTGTTTTTTTCAGATAACTTCGAAAATGTATGGAGAGAAGTGGTTACATTTATCAAATAAAGTTCCAACTAGTCTCGACTAGTTGTCATCAGTTTTGCTAAAATATCAATTATACTCATATAGGGGTTTTGGAAATGTTTAATTTACATAAATATTCTAAAAGTAACGTTATTAAATGATATTTAGTACTTAATGCTTATTTAAAGTCCCGCTTCAATTCGAAACATTGCAAAGTCTGCAGTATTGAAACAGAAACATCCAAATTCAGCAGATGATGAGACGATTCCTGAGTGGTGCCATTCCAAAAATGATATTAAATTATACATGCTTTACCGGCATGAACGTGAAACCCCTAAAAAACATGGATTTGAAATTTTGAAAGATAGCCGTTTTTGTAAGGTCAATTTAGTGATAGTATTTTTGTAGTTTTGGGAAGTATTTACTTTTTACATTAACCAGTGGAATGAAAATTATTTGTGGATCTGAGATTAATTTAAACAAAAGTCGTGCTTATTATTCTGTATCATTAAAAACTAACAAGTAAACCTTTGTGAAAAAAAGACAATGAAATGACAATTTTACAACCGCTCAATTATCCGCAAGTTATTTATTGTTAAATCAACAGTAATTTGGAAGATCCATTCTGATATCGTATTCTAAACGTCATGCAATCATTTAGTTGAAACATTATATGATTACTTCACAATTATCTTCAGTGACTGTACATTTTTTTTCACAATTGCATGTTATCAATTATATAAGGTGTTACTTATTGTAATAGCAATCAATTAAAAACTAGTAAAGACTGGATTCAACAAATTCAGAAGCATATATATATCCATACAAAGTTTTAATGCATAGAACTTGTTGAAAATATGGAGAAACTTCGAAAGATTTTTGAATAATTCCTCTATAGGGAATGGCATTTTCTTTATATGAACGTCAACACCTTGGAATACACGGTTTACTACCACCTGCAATTATGACTGAAGATCAGCAAGCTTATCGAGCTATTCTCAATCTTCGAAAACAGCCAAATGATTTGGCTAGATATGTACAACTTGATTCTTTACAGGTAAAAAATTAGTACTCATTTTAAAACATTTATTTTCACGTCTATACTTCTTTGATGGATTGAAAGTGGCATCAAAATAAACTTGCCTTAATCAACTCATGTCAAACCTTGCATTCCATTAGTTATATGTAAAACAAAAACAAAAACGTGAATTTGATAAGGGAATCCGGAAATGCGTTATTTATTAAAGATCATACTGTATCAAGATAAAATAATAGTATATTTTTTAAACTAAATTTATGATAATTCAGGAACGTGATGAGAAATTATATTACCGAGTGATTTGCAATCATGTAAAAGAACTTCTACCAATTGTTTATACGCCAACAGTTGGCTTAGCATGCCAAAAATATGGCTTCATTTACCGGAGACCAAAGTATAATTTGGATTGTCTTAGTTTTTTGAGTGGATAAATGATTGATGAAAAGTTTGCTTTAAAATATCTTTGTTTAGATTAAGTTTGCATCGAATATATTTCTATATGATACTATTAATGGAGAAAATCGCGTTTAATTGAAAACAATTGCGTTTTTTTTCTCTTCTAAAAAATATTTCAAATAAAAACTTGTGAAAGTTTTCGTCTAAAAAATTAAAAGTTATTCAATACTCAAGTTACACTGCACTCTATTGACGTGAAAAAAAAACATCTTCAGAGGTTTGTATATAACAATCCATGACAATAGCATAAGCAAAATTTATCACATTTTGTCCAATTGGCCTGAAGCAGATGTTCGAGTAAGCTAATTTTTCATTTCTACAAAATAACATCTAAAAAAGCGAACCATAATTGGAAAATAATTTTTGCGTGGAAATATAATTTAAGTGATGAGTTAAACACAAAAAAAACTTGTAGACATTAAAATATTCAATTAATATGAAAATTATTTACGTTGGAAAGCAGAAATCTCTAACGTTTTCTATTCTTGAAGCATCTAGTGATAACGATTTCAATTTTCTTTCAGTTTCTGAACTTCTCTTGATATATATAACAGTAGTCAAAGTTTTTATAAGTCGTTGACATTAATAAGTTGATAAAGAATGAATATGGATTAAGGTTATGGTGGTAACAGATGGTGAGCGAATTTTGGGTCTTGGCGATCTTGGATGTTACGGAATGGGAATACCAGTGGGTAAATTAGCTCTCTATGTTGCTCTGGCTGGTGTACTACCAAAATGGTGCCTACCAGTTGTTCTTGACGTTGGAACTGACAATGAAGTAAGATTTCCAACTGATTACTTTCAAATTTACTTATAAATTTTTAATACTTGAGTGTGTCAGTCTTTGTCTTTGATTTTTCATCAAAGCTACTTTATTTGCATTGTTTGAATCTAGTGATTTATTATATAAAAAACTAGTTTTAAACAATAATATTTATTTTACAGATACTAATTCAGTTCTCTAGACTAAATAATGAAATTAACCAGATAATGAGATTAATGTTTTCATTAAATTTTAGACTTTACTGAAGGATCCATTATATATTGGATTACGCCGAAAACGTGTGCGTGGTGAAGATTACGATGAGTTCATTGACAATTTCATGAAAGCATGCACTAAAAAGTCAATATTATTATTAAGTTAACACTTTTATCAGATGAAAATTTTTAATAATTGCATATTCAGCTAAATTGAAAAAATATAAACAATCAAACATTGCTAATGACAATGAAGTTTTTGGAACAAAATTTGGAGAGAAAATTTTTAAAATAAGGAGTTATTTGCGTCTTTTTGTTGCATAGGTATTTTTCATGTTTATATTTATTTGCAATGTATTATTTAAATAATTGCAAACAAATATTACAATATTCAGCACTACCTCTCCAGTACTAAAAAAAGCTTCTGACATCAGAAATAGCCATAATTTGTAGAAATTGTTGGTGTCAGTGGACATTTTTTTCTTTCTATTAAAAAATTATAATTGGTAATATATGAAAAATGTAAAAAAAAGGTTTGATTTAGTGCATGACAATTCTTGTCATTTATTTTCATTCATTGATGATGAATTATAATTTTTTGGCTGTTCGACAGAATCAAAAAAATGAGATAAACGTAAATGAAAACAATATGGTTTCGACTAAGCAATGTTCATCATGCATTGTTTTTGTAACTGAACTCATAAGTGAGTACATACTCTATGGGATGTCAGGAGCTTTTACTGTGTAGATTTGGAAGTACTTTGAATTTGGAACTTAAATATTTACTTCTGTGTTGTTATTTACAAATAGTTTCTATATAATCATTAAAATTCAATAGCTTGTGTCGAGCAAACTAGTCATCTTAATTTTTAAAATGTGAAAATTAGTTTATTTATCAAGCAATAAAACAAGTAATTAAGTGTTAATTCTTAATTTTTTTATTAGTTCTTAATTTTTGATTCATTTTTTTTTATCCTTTTTAAATTTTTAAATAGCATGTTTTTAAATTAAGTAAACTTAATTTATTTCAGATTTGGTCAGAAACTGCTGATTCATTTTGAAGACTTTGCTCGACAGAATGCTTATCGTCTCTTAGATCGATACCGAGAAAAATATTGTGTTTTCAACGATGATATACAAGGTTCAGCTTCTTCTTGACAAAAAACGTAATTCTTGATAACAAATACAAATATTTCAGTTTACTATGATATTCAGTGAGTTTGCTTTAGATAATTCAAATAAGGTTCACAGTTACAGTTTCACTTTTCTTGCAAGGACATATCACTCTATTTTTTCTATTTCTTACTTCAGGAACTGCTGCTGCTGTGTTAGCTGGACTTTTAGCATGTCGCCAACACACTGGGCGACCATTATCTGCCGAGAAGTTTATTTTTTTGGGCGCGGGAGCAGTATGATTTTCTGCCAAAATTTTTGGATCATTTTTTGTTGACAAACTTTTTATTTCGTAAAATATTTTAAAAATTACGAGTTTGATCGATTTTCTAACTTTGGAATGTACGAGATTAGCTGGACTTGTCAAGATCTATTAACTTGTCAAATCATTTATAGCTATACATATTGTTTACAAAGTTATGAATAATTTTGACTAATAAAGGCAGCAATGGGTATTACGGAACTGTGCATATCTCACATGGAAACAGAAGGTGTCAAACGTAAAAAAGCCCGATCACATATCTATTTGGTGGATATCAATGGGTTGATTACCAAAAATCGTCTCCATATGGAAAAGCAACACGTTCCATACGCTAAGGATATGCCAGAAATCACAAATTTGCTAGAAGTTAGAAAAAAATGTTATCAGTCTTGAACGTATAGATGAATTTGCATACATTCGTTTCATTGATCAATATGATTATCAGATAATTTTTAAACATTTGCTTGGAAATGAAGGACATAATATTCTTTTTTTCACAAAACTAAAGTAATCCATATAAGGTAGTTTTACTGAATTAATGAACCTTGTATGTATTTCAACTTTTAGCTAATCAAACTGATCAAACCAACGGCTCTAATTGGAACTTCAACCACTGGAGGCGCATTCAACGAAGAAATAGTTCGTACGATGGCAGAATTTAATCAAAAACCGATTATTTTTGCTTTGTCAAATCCAACGAAGAAAGCGGAATGTACAGCAGAACAAGCAATTAAGTGGACTGACGTAAGAAATTTTTCCATCTGAGTGAGATAGGATTTTATTTGAGTGTTTTGCATGCAAATTACATTTTCGATATACATTAGACTGAAATTTTTCTCATTTTTCGTTCTTGTTTGTACTCTCACATGAATCTCATCTTACAGTGATAGATATCAGATAGTTATTGTAATAGATCATACCTTTGTTTTTTAGGGTAGAGTACTGTTTGCAAGCGGTAGTCCTTTCGAGAATGTAAAATATAATGGAAAATTATTCAAGCCTGGCCAGGGAAATAATTCTTATATATATCCTGCAGTGGGAATGGCGGCTATTTTATTTCAAATACGACATATTGATGATAACATGTTTCTCATTGCTGCTCAGGTATATAGGATTCTTGTGAATTTTCTACAAACAATTTTATCTTACTTCAATTATGATTACTAAAGTAAACACGTAATAAGTTTTACTGAAAAATTTATAATTATGAGTCTCTTCAAGACATTTTTATTTTTAGGTTTAAAAAAATTTTTAAGTTTTGACAAAAAAAGCAATTTAAGAATTTTTTTTGAAAATATTTCATGTTTGCGAAAAGCTTAAATTATGACATCTTTTTTGTTATATTTTTAGCTTTCCACAAGTATGGAATATTTTCAAAAAAGTTAAAGATCATTCAGTATAAAACTTCACTATGAAAGCATCGTACTGTATTTGCCAAATTTTGAACAGAATAATTTTGAATTTTTTTACGATGATCAAATGGATAAATAGATTTCAAATATTTGCAGGAGGTAGCAAAATCTGTTAGCAGTGATGATTATCAATGTAGGCGCTTGTATCCAAGTTTTAGTCGCATTCGAGAAGTTTCCTTGAAAATAATTATAGCCCTCGGAAAATACAGCTATGAAGTAAAAATTCTTTGAGATCAATAACGTAATGAACAAAATTGTAAATGCTAACCATTTGTTTGATTTACTTTTCCTTTTTCAAGTTTTTAAAGTTCCATTAACTCTATATTCTGTCATACTTTTACAGTTTGCTTGAACGAAAACCATTTTGAAAAAACAATGCAAAAGCATTAAAGTTCAACTGTGAAAATTTGTTTAAACAATGTAGAAAAAATAGGCATTTTTGTTGCATATATAACAATTTTCTATCGTCTTTATAGCTTATTGATATAAATAAATAAAATTTGTAGAAAAATATGGCATCACTTTATCCAAAACCAGAAAATGTTGAAAACTTTGTACGCAGTCAAATGTATAACACAAATTACGATAAAATAGTAGACTATCGTTACGACTGGCCTGAACAGGATATGGTGCAAGGCTATCCGGTTCCTAATGACTAACTATTTATACATTTTAGCTATGAATGATTTATTAATATTAATTTTAATATCAGAACTGAATTATTCACCATAATTTAAAAAATATTTTCTGCTTAATACTTGTAATTCTTTTGTGTGATTAAATAAAAATTTATTACACAAAATATAATTTTGATTGAAAAATTTGCAGTTAAAGGAATTAGCATCAAGTTGTTGGCGTGTAAATTGTAATAATTAGTCGACGGAAAATTAAAACAAGCAGTAAACAAAATTTCTGGAACAATTTTTCATAAATTCTTTTCAGTAAATCAAATGATATCATAAGTTTAATTTATGGAGTAATTTTTGTGAGTTATATCTCTTACCAAATATACCAGCATTTTTTCCAATGCATTAATTCCATTTAATATATTTATGAAGAAAAATTTTTAGAGGCAGCAACGATCTAAAATTTTCAAGCATTGTTCGTCTGTAACTCAACTGATCAGTTGATAAGTTACATTGTATTATGCCGAGATGAATGTCTGAAATTATTTGCAAAGTATGCTTATTAATAGGAAAAATGTTGGTTATAATTTTGTGTGAATTTCAATTTCAAACTTCAGCATACTTTAAAATAATAAACAAATAATTAATCAGTCTGTCTCACAAATAATAAGAAGCATTGTGAGAATTGCTGAGAAAACTGATTGCCAGTTTTAAGAATGATAGCAGTTGTAATTGTTGATACTAACTAAAAAAAAATTCTATAATAATTATTAGATTCCATCATTGACTTGAAAGAAAATGAATAAAATAATTACTATACTAAGAAGCACATGCAGGTGAATCCATCTCTTAACCATCTTCAATTTGAAATTGTTCCAAACATTTTCTCAGATTTAAAAACGTGGAAAGCACTTTTATACTGCACAATTCTATGTCTTAGAATTTTTGTATTTTTTGAGAAGTAATAATGTGAATTATTTGATTTTTGCACAGTTTTAAATATTAATTCCGACTTTAACATCTAAAAATTATCAAATAATGAACACTGCAATAAATCTTATTTTTTCATTATTTAATTAAGCATTTTTTGATTTGATTTTCAAGACTCTCCTCTCACCCATATTTCGATACTTTCAATTTTAGAGCGAATTGTAATCAATTTAAGCTTAATGATCAATTTTTCACAGAAATCATTGAAGTATTATTTTTGTAACGATGAAACTGAATCACACAACAATCAATTTTTGTACATAGCTAACTAATTTTTCTTAAAATTTAGCTACTCTTTACTTCCATTGGTTGTGCTAATTTTAAAATTTTCTAAAGAAAATGAATGACTGAAAATAATTGGAAATCTAGCAACGCTAAATTCGTTATCAAGGGCAGCTAGAGATATTACTAGTGGAATTATTGAATTTACCAGATATAAATATTAATTAGCAGAGAATTACTTTAGAAGCAGGCAGTGAAATGCATAATTGTTGTTAAAGATGCAAGGAAACGTCGTTTGACATTGGTTTACAATCAGAGTTCAACTTGTGCATCAATAAACTTCAGACAAAACAACATTGACTGCAAGACAATAAAGAAAAATAATGGCACTCACACGATGAATTTGCAGTTGAAAAGATAAACAATAAATTTGTCTGATTAATAACTGTCAATCATATTTTTGTGCAAAATGCGCTAAATAAATGCTTTTATTTGAATAAATTTTCTAAATTTTGAATCAAAGAATGGGAAAATTTAAGCGGCATAAAATTTTGTAAGAATGCGATGATATATTCTACACTTCTTTCGTATAAATAGCCTAAACATTTTTAAACTTCCTAAAAAGCAAAATTTAAAAATTATTTAAAATTAATTTCATCAATAAATTTTACTCAGAATCACGAAAATCACAAAATCTTTTCTTCACAATTATCAATGAACAAATTTATTTTTATTGGCATTTTGATTTTTTTCTTTTTTTTTGCCATAATCGTTTGACATTGAAGAGAACAGAGTAATTGTCCGTCCGTCTTGCTTAGTGCCAACATATTAACATAGATAATTTAACTTTTAATTAAATTGTCAGCAGAAAGATACTAAAATTACTTTCATAATCACTGTATGTATCAAACTTACGTTCATTCAACAAAATATTTAGCAGTAAATTAGAACGTATCAATTCTTACCAGCATTACCAGAGAGGGAAAAGTATAACAATATATTTAAATGAGGTACTGTTTGTACTTAATACAAATTTGGTTATATGTCTTTACAGTTCGGTAAGGAATCTTAACGATAATTTTTTTCCATCATGCAATTCAAATAATTTATAATTGCAAATGTTATCATTATCCTTGCTATCTTACTTTGATGTCGTTAGTAATTAATTTTTCAACACAACTTATTAATAGTAATTGAGATTACAGCGGAGGGATATAGCAATTTCATTCAAAACCTCCCAAAATCAATAATCATCTTCATAGAATCATGTTTACTTTTAATTACTTTCACATGTATGTTTTGCTGTCGGTTTTTAGACATCATAAGTATTTACTTTTACTAAGTATATTTAACGTTGCCTTTATGTTATTGATGAAAATACAAGTAATGTTAACTTGCATGTATGTACTATATATATACTTCTCACAGTGTACAATATTGATCTATGGGATGTGTTATTTGGTTGTTTAGATCAAATTGAATGAAATTGATTAAATCATTGAATAAGAATAGTGCTTGTGACTCATATCGGTTAAATTTATTAGCAATATTTAAGCAAAAACGTGTGCAAAAGAAATAATTTGCATCGAAATCGAACTGTAAAATAAATATTTGAACGTAAGCTTAAGTGTTATTTACAAGTTTGCCTCTCAACGTGCTCTCATCTAATTTGCTCTTTCATAGTTGTGTTCTGCAAAAAATTGCATAGTTGAGCTCAAATATTTACATGTATTGGCAGTATTACTCATAATGACGTCATTAACACAATCATTTGCTGACATATACTTTTAGTATATTGAGTTGAACTTATTGTGTACTATAGGCGTCAATGACTCGCTATCTTTTTCATGTAAACTGGTTCATTCAGTGATACAAGATACGTATACGTATAGTCAAAACCTATGGTTAATATGATAATTTTTGCACATCTTTTTTTCTCTAGCGCTTAAGTGCAAACTATATTGATCAAATATACTAGTATAAGAGTATATGTTATAGCATTATTCAAATATTTTCGACAGTTATTAATCATTTTGCTGACGTATATAATGGCTGACATCTTATTACATATTCATTCAGTTTTCATTTTAATGGTGACAAGTAATTCACTCGTCTCTCTGTCTTGATTTTTTAAGTTGTAAAAATTTTATTAGTAAGGTGAGTTTTGGAAGTGCAAGCAAGTTTGAGATGTACATTTAGTTCAAATATTACAAGTAGTAGTTTGATATTTTCAAACTTCACACTGCTATCGATCATTGGTTCAGATCTAATGCATTGTTTATCGCTTGTTCTTCGCTAAAAACTTTGAATTTTTCGTATGTGCATTTTAATTGTTGTTGATGTGTTACCATCTATCTCATAACTCTAAACACTCATTTGTATCATAATCTTATTTGCAGTTAATTTATCGTTTGTTGTCCAATCTCGGATTTTTTTTCTTCTAATTTTATATAACTCTTTCATGTTCACTTCACTGAGTAAGATTACATATTCTAGCAAATTATTAATTTTTGTTATTTGCAAAATAATTCATAACTTATACTTCCAAAATAGATTCTAATTGCTTCATTAGCTTTATTTTTCCATCACTGATGTCGTTACCTGTTAAGAAGACTGTAGAATTTGCACCTGCTTTTCGTTTTTTACTTTTGCTATAATTCAGTTTTATTTTTTTGTAGTAAAGTTAGAGAAGTAAATGTTTCCTTTGTGTCAATCATTTCGATAAAATCTGCAACCGTTTCTTGCTTCACTCTCAGCTAATTTTCCGCTCTCTCTAATCTCTATCCTACTACTGAAAGTGAAAACAAAATAAAAACGTACATTTTTTGTAAAATTTTTTTATTCACAGCATGTGTTGTGTTTTTTGAGTAACTTTCTGGGGACAGTTAGTTCTACCATTTAACTTTCAATTTTGTCACTAACTGAGCTTTGAAAGTGAACAGATAGTTGAACTGTTTGATGTTGAATTGTGCTGGTATCATTCTTTTTTTTTCGCTCAATTTCTTCGGCTCAGTAAAATTTCAAGATTATTGACTTCTTTATTTACAATTTTGGAAACTTTTTGTAAATTAATAAAAATTGAATGAATCTTTAGAATTTGCACTCTGAACTACTCTATTTATACTAAGATATGGAGATTTACTCATTTCAATTCATCATTTTACAGTAAAAGGAATTTAACGACTTCATTTGTTGTGATGATAGAAATCAATCATGCCCACGATATTCGTCAAATTTGTTCCATATTTCTAACAAATTTCATTTCATGAATTAGTTGTGTCGATTAAGTTGATAACGAATAATTGCGTGAAAAATATATGAATGGATTGATTGATTGATTGATTGACCGACTGCTAGATCGACTAAGTGATAGATGAATGAATGAATGAGTGAATGAGTGAGTGAATATCCATTGGTATGCTGTTATGCAAAGATGCATTCTGCATTTATCATCTTTTTCACCTACATCTTTGCAAGATCAACTGATCTATTCATTCACTCGTTCCGTTCACTCACGCATTCACTCGCAGCATATAAATTTCTGAGAGAAGAAAACGTTTGGAAATGCGGAAATTTGTTCATTTGAGTTGGATTCCGTCAGTTAGTGAGTGATATACTTTTCTAGCTAATTAGTTAGTTAGTTGATTGACGGACTGGATTGTTATAAATTGGGATTCTATTTGCATATCGTTTTTTAAAGGGCAGATGGTCGTTGATGAAGCGTTTTTTTCGATTTTTTAGAAAATTATTTAGATGTAAAGAGTTGTTTGTAGTGCAGTTAATTTAACATGGTGAATTATTGTTATACATCGTTAATGTTTAATAATTTTCTCACAAATACCCCTCATCATCCTTAACCTATTACTTATATCGCTTAATTTACTTGAAAATAAAATTATGCAAATAAGAGCATTCTTTGTTTCCATATTATTTAGCAGTTATTATTCCAATATAAATGTTAAAATTTGACGCTCTTATAATCTAGTTCTTTTCTTTCTTTGTCATCTAGTGTAAATTTGGATCGAAATCATCTTTCAACTCTAGTTGAAATTTGAATAGAAGACATTTTTCAAGTTCAAAATTTTCTTATGTCTTGGATTTTGCTTGAACTGTATGGGCTTCTGCATGCTTATTCATAATTAGGACTTTAAAATTTTCATGTAATGATAATTGATTGAGTTTATGTCATCCCGCATTGATTTACGTATGTTCAACACGAAAAAGAGCTTAAATGATGAACTTTGTACAAGCGTGGTATAATTTCACGTTATTGTCATATGCATTCATGAAATTTGTTGTTTAACGTTTCAACAATTCCAGCATTTATCAGCTACATCAATTTGCTCGCTGTTTGTCACAAAATTCATTTGAACGAAAGAAATGCAAATACTCATTATATGTAATGTTTTCAGGTGGTCATCCCGCTCTCAAGATGAATTTGCTATGGTCTCAGAAAAATTTGCTTTATCTTAGACGACGTTCAGTTCTACGGTTTGCATTGTTATCGTTAAAATTTTCATAGTTTAATCAAAAAGTAAACTATAAATTTTTGAGACATCATGAAGAGAAATTGAGTACATGTATTTCAAATAAATAAACATTTGCAAATTAATGATGACTTTAATTCAGGTTCTGTTTACTTTCATGGCTTATGTTTACTTATATAATTATAATGGTTTTTGCAAAAAAAAAAAAACAGGTTTCGAAATGTTATTTTTAATTTTGAACAAGAATGATTGGTTTATTTTCATAAAAGTAACTAAAAGGAATATGCCTAGAAGTAGTATTTGTCTGAAATGTCTTATATATATTAGCAATAAGTTCAAAATGGACGTAGTGATTGAAAAAAAAGACTAAAATCTTTTACTGAATAACTGCTCAAATCTTTTTTTTAGACACATAAACTTGGTATGTGCTCACTTTCCAGGAAGCAGGCTTTGGATTTCTTAGTTTAACATCACTGAGTATTATTTACTCCATCTAATCCTTTTTTTACTTTTCATTAGTTTTAGTTTTGTAGAAATTTAATGATTATGGTTTTTTCTTCACTATTATTGATTAATTTTTGTTTCAGCAAATAGCATCACTTATGAACTGGTAATTTAAGTCAAAGAATATAGTTATTTCAGTTGATAACTGTCAGCCACAGTGAAAACTAATAGCAATAAATATTGTTAATAATCATAAATGAATATTGACAATTAAAGAGTGAAAACACAATAAAAGTGATTATAATAGTAGTAGGCGCAATATTAATATTCATAGCAGTAGAAATGAATTGAAATTTAGGCAGAAAATATATTTTCATTTCATCATCATCAATAATGAAAATTTATGCCATCAATAATATCAGATACTAAATCTTGAAAGTTATTTTTATTATATTATTTCCAGTATTACGGTGTTTACACACACTGCAACTAATTATCTCTCTCAAACAGGGAAAAAGTCTATAAACTGAAAGTACCCTCGACTATAGTCACGTAAACACATTCAGTTTAGTTCTTTCCACATTATTATTAATCACATTCCTCGCATTCAAATTTTTTGATAGCACGAAAACGTTTTATCACTCAAAAGCAGTGATCATTGCTGGATCACTGTCATTAGGTCATGTCCAAATTGGTGAATTTTTTGTATTCGGATCACATCTAAATGGATGGATTAACAGTAATGAACTGAATTACTCTTGTAAGCATAATTTTTTTCTGACCTCTCTGTTTAAAATATTACCACAAAGTTCTTAGAGTTGTTCAAACGATCTCAACAACGTCAGTTCGAAATGAAGTAGATGTTGCGTCGATGACTGATAAAGATTTAGAGTTATATAAGCTCTACAGACCAGAAAGAGTAGTTCCACCTGTTAGAGGAGTTGATCTCTTGAAATCAGCACGTTACAACAAGGTATAATTTATGAATATGGAAACGTAGAAATTTGATGTTATTTCTAAGATCAGTCTTTCTTGCTACTTCTAAAAGTAATGGAAATAATTGTAGATTTACCAGTATGAAAAATATTAAAAACTTCGTTGCATCAAAGTGGTGGGAATGTAATTTTTTAAAATAAAGGATTAAATTAAGCACGCACCGCGAGTTTATTTACCATAAATATGTGATAGATAATGACTGGTTTCAAATATGGCATAATATTGTCGGGCTTCCTTCAAAAGATGTCATGGAATTTCTTGTGATAAAAATTAAATGCTCTGATATTGTTTTGTTTTTAAGCACTATACACTTTTAGAGAAGTTAATGTCATGAGCAGTTTTTAATGAATTTTAGGGAATGGCATTCAGTCTTTTCGAACGGCAGTATCTTGGTATTCACGGTTTGCTACCCCCAGCATTTATGACTGAAGAACAACAGGCTTATCGGATCATTTCTGCTCTTCGACAACAACCTAATGATTTGGCACGTTATGTACAGCTGGATGCATTGCAAGTTTGTCATTTTTTCAGAAATTCAAATGCATTATACCAAATCGTCTAATTTTTGTCGCAGTTTCGCATATTTTTGCAGAAAATTTGAGATATTAATAAAGATTTTCTTGTGTTTAACTAACGTCTGAGCAGAAATTTAGTTCTATATATAGAAAATAATAGTATTCAGGATCGTAACGAAAAACTTTTCTATCGTGTTGTTTGTGATCATGTAAAGGAGTTGATGCCAATCGTTTATACACCAACTGTTGGCTTAGCTTGTCAGAATTTTGGTTACATTTATCGTAAACCAAAGTACACATTTATCATTTTTTTCTGTTTTTATTAAATAGTGTTTTGATACTTTACAAAATGATAAATGCACGAAAAAAACAAATAGGCATTTGTAGATCATATCAAAGCGTTCCATAGAAGAATATTATATTTTTCGTTTTTTCTTTAAATTATTTACTGAAAAAAATATTTGTAAAAATCACTTTAGTTCAGTTATCTCTTAACTATACTTTAATCTTAACGTTGTAAAATAATAAGTATCATTGTTTTTAAATCAAGGCTTCGATTTTGATGTCGTGATTTCAATAATTTATTATGTGAAAAATGTTATAGAGGTGTTTATATAACCATCAATGATAACAGCATCAGTAAGATACATCATATTCTTAGCAATTGGCCAGAGACTAACGTTCAGGTAAGTTTTTAAACTATTTTTATGTATAACTAATGAGTCGATTTTTTGTTAAAGTTCAAGATTATCAGCAAGATAGTAAAAAAAAAACATATTTTTTAGAAATAGTCCTACTTTTTACAGGCAATTGTTGTAACAGATGGAGAACGTATTTTGGGCTTGGGTGATCTCGGAGCTTATGGCATGGGCATTCCAGTGGGTAAACTTGCTCTATATGTGGCACTTGGTGGTATTCAACCACGATGGTGTCTTCCTGTTTTACTTGATGTTGGTACAAATAGAGAAGTATGCATATATTATGTTTCTTTGTGGTTTTATTAAAGCTCTTGCTTTGGAGTGATTTCAAGTATCAAGTTTGAAAATATATAGACCGCATATTTCAGGAACTTCTTAATGACCCTTTCTATATTGGACTGCGACGAAAGCGTGTTCGAGGAAAGGAATATGATTCATTTATCGAAAATTTTATGAAAGCATGCACTAAAAGGTTTACATTAATTAGGCCATGATATTAACTGTTTACTTTATTTAGTTTCGAAATAATCTAACCCATAACTGCTGCACGAAAAGTAAATGATCAAATTATTCCAGATTTGGACAACACGTATTGATACAATTTGAAGATTTCGCTAATGTCAATGCATACCGTTTATTAGAAAATTTCCGAAACAGATATTGTACATTCAATGATGACATTCAAGGTGTTATTTTTTTTAATGCTATCTACTTTTTTATATTATATTATATGTAATTAATAGTGCATGGTTAGGTCATTATTTTAATGAACAGAATGTTTTGTGTTTTAAATGCTAAAGTTTCAGTTTCCACTTTCACCTAAAGTTTGAGGCCTAATTTCTGTTTAGTTAGCAATAATTTTACTTTTTACTTACTCATTAAATTTATTTCTGTTCAATAAACCATTAGTGCCAGTCGTTACATTATTTTTAAGTTTTTAGTGTTTATTTTTGTCTCATTCAATTATAAGATGTAGTGCCTGTATATAGTAATAGAGTTTATTTTGATATTTTCTAAAAGTCCATAAAATTTCAGGTAATTCTCAGAAGGTAAATAATATTATTCGCTTTTTATTAACTACATAATCATAGTTTCTAAGTGGATCCTTTTATAGTTGTAGCACAGCTTTTAAATTTTTTTCTCATGACTTTAGGAACAGCATCAGTTGTTGTTGCTGGTTTGTTGTCTTGCAACCGAATTTTGCAGAAGAAGATGATTGATCAGAAATTTGTATTTCTTGGTGCTGGAGCTGTAAGTATTCATTCGCAGCAATTTTTGTTAAAGATTTAAATTGTTTGACTTGTGATTAAATTTCATTGGAAAAATCACTAAACACTAAATTATAGGGAAAAAATTACGTAGCACTAGCGTATGGTTTCTTAATCTTAAGCGCTTCTTCGTGGTGGCATAATAATACTATAAAATACTGCAGGCTGCAACAGGTATTGCTGACTTATGCGTCTTGCAAATGCAGCATGAAGGGTTGGGAGAAGATGAGGCACGTGAACGGATATATTTAATGAATAGTAAGGGATTAATCACGAAAGATAGCCCAAATCTAAAGTCTGAACACAAACCGTATGCAAAGAATATGGAACATATCAAAAACTTAATCGATGTATTATTTTTTACTTTGTTTTTATTATTTGTAGACCAATCAAAACATAAACATAAGATTGCCTTCCGCCCAATTGCAATAATTAATAGTCAGAAGTAGTTTGAAAGAAAAATTGCATGAATGAAGATTTTACTATATTTGTAGGTGATCAAGAAAGTGAAACCCACAGGAATAATTGGTGCATCAACAGTAAGAGGTTCATTTTCCGAAGAAGTGATCAAAGAAATGTCGAGCATCAATGAGCATCCAATTATCTTCGCTTTATCAAATCCTACTAATAAATCGGAATGCACTGCTGAAGAAGCCTTCACTCATTCAAAGGTTTTTTTTTTCACGTTACTGTTCATATAAAACAAGATTTTTTACATTAGTCAAATTTTATAGTCCACCAGTATTGACTGTTGTGTTTTTTTTCTAACCTATTGGATTTCATCATTTTTTCATATGAAGCAAAACTTTTCTATAAAAATTTTTGAATTTCATTCACAGTCCTCTTATGTAACAGCCATCTTTTTAGGGTATGGTACTTTTTGCCAGTGGTAGTCCGTTTCCAAGTCTGAGACTGAATGGTAAACTTTACAAACCAGGTCAGGGTAATAACTCATATATATTTCCTGGTGTAGCGTTAGGCATTATATTATTCAAAGTTCGCCATATCGACGATGAACTGTTTTTGATTGCTGCCCGAGTAAGGTTCTACAATTTAGTTTGCTGTAGTTTCTTCATATAACCTAATTAATGTGCTTCCTATATTATTTTACTAATGCATTGTTTCAGGAAATTGCAAATATGGTGACGGAAAAGGACATAAAAGTGAGCCGAATTTATCCAAATTTGAAATACATTCGAGAATGTTCGGTCAAGATTGCATTAGCTATTGGCAAACACTGTTTTGCGGTTAGCATTAACATTTTAGTTTCAGGTTTATTTTTAGAAGTGAAATGAATTTACGTTGAATCAGGCACCTAAAATGGAGGTCTAGGATGTAACGTTAATCCATTTCTACTGAAAATCCTCATTAACTGGTAATCGATTATTAATAAGCAAAGTTTCAATCATGAGCGATCTTTAAGTAGCGATTAAAATCACTGCATCAATATGTTCAAATTAAAAGTCAGGCGCAAACGAGAGAATATAATCGAAACTCAAAATGAGATTAAAATTTTTGAATTTTTGATTCAGTGAGTAACAGAATTTTTCTAAATAAATAATGAAACTTGTTGAGTATTATAAATCATCACCAAAATTCGTTAGTGATTTGCAGAATGGAACAGCGGCACTATATCCTGAACCGGAAGACTTGGAGAAGTACATTCGTTCACAGATTTACTCAGTAGATTATGATGAACTGATTGATGTGACATATGAATGGCCTGAGAGTGATATGAGACATGGTTTTCCTGTCCCCATTACAAGGCGTGAGTCGGTTGACGAGTAAAGAAGAGATATCGTCTATATCCAGTCCAAAGCATCTTCTCTAATCACTTTGTGTTATTTATCAGTATTAGTTAGGGTTTGAAATATTTAGCATTAACAGCTCACATTCTGTGATTGGAAAACGAAAACCTGATAGGAGATTTAGTATCTAGTTATCGTGATCGTATAATGCATCGATTCAGCGATCGGAATTTGACATGAAGCAAGCAGTTGCTGCCAATTTGTTCTCTCTACTGGTTTTCTTCACCAATAGCAGAATCAATCATTTGTTTAAGTGCGTGTTCGTTAGATAATATGTATTAATTCGTTTCATGCAAAGAACTGATGCAAATTCTTGTTTGTTCGTATTTGTTTGGTGCAAAATTTCAAATGTATTTCGATAAATATAAATAAATTATGAAGATGCGTCTCCCAAGGATTGAGCTCAGTTATGAAGCCTTCCATTTTAGAACTAGAGATATTTAACGTGTTCGGAAAAAACATTCTCTGCTTATGAAGTCGTCTGTTCTTACTGTCCTGAGATTTTGTTTTACTTTAGCTTTCACACTGTATGGTCTGGAATATAAGTAATTCTGTAGGGATAGTGGGTTCTAGGAGCTTCAACCGTGTCGATTGGTAATTTGCTCATATGTTGCTAGATTGATTGTTGTTTTAGTTCGTTACTTGTTATGCAGTAGTAGACAATTTTCAAAGCTGTGAACTCTAGAACCATGGCTAGACTCAGTTGATATGCATGCATAAGTGAAGATAGATGGAATATTGGTTTTCATAAGGAGCCAAACTGTACTGCTATTTGAAAGATTTTAGAAGAGATGTGAATGGGATTGAGACCAAAGAAATTTAAAGTATTTGTGAGTAGTGTTGTGGTCTAAGGTGATGGACTCTCACTTTTATTTAGTGCCAATTTGGCTAACGGTGAAAAGTATGGAAGTTAAATTTGAGCTAGAAGTCGACTTAGTATTTTCAGTTGCAGAATTTCTGAAGAGGAATTCACATTTTCTTCAAGTCCTTTTTGGTTGCAGCCAAAGTTCTGCAGCATTTTGGTTATTTTACAGATAATGATTTTGCAGATAAAGTTCATAGAGAAGTGATCATGAAAATGCAGGGGTGATGAATCAGTTTCCACCGATTACTTTGTTACGAGCGTGGTCTAGAGCGTATCTACACATACGTTACTTGTCGGCACAGCAAGTCAGGACATCATTTTTGCAGTATTTTGAAAAACATGATCACATCTATGTGCCTTCTTCATCTGTTGTTCCTGAGGATGACAGTTCTCTGACTTTCGTTAGTGCAGGAATGAACCAGGTGCGATTTTCGAAATTGCGTTGGCTGTAAGATTTTGTACACAAATTAGATTGATTTTCGTTTACATAAACACATATTTTAAAGTAACCATTTTTAGGGTATTAGTAATTAATTTTCGGAAGGTTTGGACGAAACAATTGTTAAATATTTTACTATACGGGAGTCACTTTAGAAAATAGCTGTTCTTGTAATTTTGTACATAGATTGAATTGTCAGATATTTTACACGCTCACGTTTCTTACTACATACTATTCTCGTTCTTAATTTGTGACGTTAATCGCACGCAACTACTCCTTATTGTTAAATTTGAGTTCTTTCAGTTATTTTTTTAAAATTGTACGCTTGTAAACTTTCTGCATCACTAATAATTTAAAAGTTGTCGAAATATGAAGATTTTTCAGTTCAAGCCACTTTTTTTGGGGGCAGAATATACTGAAGGTAAATTTGCTGGTTTACGTAATGTGGTAAATTGGCAAAAATGCATACGTGTGGGGGGCAAACATAATGATTTCGATGATGTCGGACGTGACTTGACTCATCATACTTTTTTCGAAATGCTGGGGAACTATTCTTTTGGGGGGTATTCGAAGGTGAAGTTTTTTCTTTCACTTTGGTCACTGATTTGGTATTTTCTGAGTAAGAAGATTATTGTGGATTTTTCTTGTTCAAGAAATCAAAATCTTTCTCTCTAAGTCGACATAAATAATAAAAAGTTTATGAACATGGCATAACTGCTTGTATTTGTGAGGATTTTTTTATTCCTAAACATACTACGTTTACATTAAGAAGTTTTGAACTTTTACTAATTCATCTCATCATATTTTACCGAAATAAATAAATTTATTTCATTTTAAAAAAATAAATTGAGCTCGGAGGTATGAGTTATCTATTAAATTTGGAATAGTATGTTTATCAGTTGTCCTTCATGCTTTTTATTTATAGGCGGAAGCATGTCGATATGCATGGGATTTTCTTACAAATGTGCTGAAGATACCAACTAATCGATTGTATGTGACGTATTTTCGTGGAGATGAAAATATGAAGTTAGAGGAAGATTTCGAATGTCGTGATGTATGGATTAACTTGGGGTAAAAACTTCATTTTTCTCGTAAAATGTAATATTAGTATCAATTTCTTAATTATTATTTTTTGTTTTCTTTCCGCCGTTTATATGGACATTTTGATCGCTTGAGAAAACATTGTAATTCATTCCTCTTCAGTGTTCCAAAGGATCGTATTCTTGGCTTTAGTTCTAAGGACAATTTCTGGGAGATGGCTGAAACAGGCCCTTGTGGTCCATGTACGGAAATTCATTATGATTTAATCGGTAATCGAGATGCTCGTAATCTTGTAAATTCGAGTGACGCTACAGTGGTCGAAATCTGGAACCTTGTTTTTATGCAATTTAATAGGTAGTTTTCATAAAGATAAGTTTATTACATAAGATGTATATGATAGTATACGATGAGTTATGGGTTATTCATAATGACCTGGAGAATGAAAATTAAGACATATTAATCCAGATGATCTATAACAGGGATATGTCGTCTACAATCACCAAATTACCGAAGTTGTACATAGATTGTGGTATGGGTTTCGAGCGTCTTGTGAGCATTGTACAAGGACTGAAGTCTTCTTATGATACCGATATTTTTATACCATTTATGAAAATCATTCAGGAGGTTATTAATAATTGCAAATTAAAAAGCACAATTTAAATCGTGATCTTATTTTTGGAATACACACTTGACTTATTCTTTACTTTTTTGACCTTCCAGTTTTCGAAAGTCGGGAAATATTGTGGGCGGACAGGGAATGACGATAATGAGAAAGTAGATACGGCATATCGAATTATTGCTGATCATCTTCGTGCGGCATGTATTATGATAGCAGATGGTGTTAAACCAGGTTCACGAAATCGAGGGTTGGTTTTTTCTCTTAATATTTTCAAATACCAAATTTGTTATAATTAGAATCTTAAATAGCCATATTTGAAAACTTGCACTTTACTGCAGTTATTATTTCATTTGGTTTTTAAAATTTCATTTTCCAGCAATTTATTTATATTTAGATTTTTACTTCGTCGAGTTTTGCGGCGCGCTGCATTAAATTTAACTCTTAATCTTGGTGCAGAAAGGGAAACATTGTCATCTTTAGTGCCTAAATTTGTTCAAACTATGGTAAGTCTTATCTAATTTTGTGCTATTCGTTACATTGTATAGTGATTTTGTTCTGTTTTTGATCTCTTTCTGCAGGCAGTGTTATACGAAAGTGTCTCATCGGTTGAAAAGTTGATAGCAGAAACAATTTCGTCAGAAGAGCAACTGTTTTGGAAAAGTTTTGACAAAGGGAAGAAGTTGCTTCTGCAAAATATAGCGCATTCACCAGAAGTATTACCAGGTATAACTCTTTTTTATCTCAGAATTTAATATTTTGATATTTCTTTTAGTGATTATTCAATTTTTGGCTTTCATTAGTTCAAGGAGAAATGAAATGAACCCATACAAGTTTGTCATATTTATACACATATTAAAATGATAATATCATGTAAAAAATAATTTAATCATATTGTTCAAAAAATAATTTAATAATATGTTGCAAAAAAGTGGATTTTATCTATTTCGAGTTTTTCTTCCTCATTAGGAGAGAAAGTCTGGATGTTATCAAATGTTCACGGCCTTCCATTAGAAATCATTCAACAGATTTGTGATAAAAAAGGCTTAAAAGTGGATGTAGATGGTTTCAATCAGTCCCTTGAGGGATCCCAGGTAATTTTCTTATTCAAAAATTTCGTGTGCAGTGTTTTTTCAAGAAAAATCACAGGTATTAAGAAAAACTTGCTACCAGTTTTTTGTGCATATCTTCTAACATATTTTACTTTTATTCAATGAATCAAAAATATAGATATTTGTTAGATTTCAGAAGGAATGCTAAATAAATGAAAACACATGCCAGTTAACTAGTGTTTTAGCATTAAAAAATTATTAATTATGAGTTATGATTGGAGAGGGTTCAAAAAGCTCAAGAAGAACTCTGGCGCAAAATAGATTTGAAAGGAATATTAAGTAACGTGAATTCAACTGATGATTCGGGAAAATATAATTATGAACGAATTGATATGGGAAAATATGGTATGCATCTTGCTTGATTTGGTCGCTCTTCAATTTTTGTGTCATCTTCCAATTTTATCACTGGAAATGAAGTTAATTTTCCTGTTACAGAAATAATTCATTTGTTTGCTCGTTGCAGCTTGTTTCTTTTCTATCGTTGCTATTTTTCTCATACTTGAAATACTTTTTGATAACTTAAATTGTCAAGAATTCATTGTTTAAAACAGTATAGAATTCCCAAAAATGGTGGGTACTGTCATGGCCTTGTATGATGTTGATGGGAAAAGTGTAACCAGTCTTGGTGGAGGAGAAAAAGGATGTGTAATTATGGATTCCACAATTTTTTTTGCTGAACAAGGAGGGCAGATGTATGATTCCGGCACACTTCGGAATAATTTGGGTGTAGGCTCTTTTTATTACTTAACTAGATTTTGTTCTGTCTTTTACTCAATATAGTTTTTCAGTATATCATAATGTTCAGATAAGAAGAAACTGATTAATTGTAAATTAAGGAGATTTTTTTGATGTAACTGGTTTTAAATTTGTATTTATTAGTCACTTTTCATTGTTTATCTGCGTCTTCTTAGGATGTTGTTTTTTCTGTCGAAAGTGTAAAAAGGCGAAGTGGATATGTTCTTCATACAGGTGAAATAGCTAATAACCAAGTAGTGGTGAAAGGGACGAGTTTGCTGCAGAGCATTGATTCTGTAATTTTTTTGTCATCATACTCTTACTTTTCTGTCTTCGTTGAGTTTTTTGTAATATTAGAAGGTTTTTTTTTCTATTTTATATATCTCACTGAATTCGACTACCGTAAAAAATTACGTGTGATTACCACGTTATCCAAATGATTTTCTTTTTTATTTTCTTCATTTTTAGAGACGACGATTTTCGTTGATGTGTGGTCACACCGTCATTCACATACTTAATTTTTCACTTAGTAGAGTATTCGGTTCACCAGTTCGTCTGTTGGGTTCATTCATTGGTCCTGAAAAATTGTACTTAGATTTCTTTGTCGCAGACAAATTTGACACTAAAAAGGCAAATTTCCATCTTACTGATTAATTTGTAAATGACCTGTACAACTAGTTTACAGATTAAGCAAGTACTGTTTAATGTTTCGTCGTCGTCTGTTTAGAGAAATTTTGAAACAACTTCTTATTCTTTTATCAGAGCGCTTATTTTTGATTTATATGAAGTTTGCTTTATAAGAAGAAGCGTAAGATTGCCTTTAAATTAAAAAGTTATAGATTGAACAAGTTATGGCAGTGGTTAATGAAATCATTGAGAGCAATCTCACTGTTACAGTTAAACACATCTCGCACGAAGATATAGGTTGCGCTCATAAAAACTTTTCAAGATTCGACATTTCGCAAGTATAAATTTAATTTGTTGGCTGCTGTTTTTCGGAAAACAAATGTTCTTCTCACAGTTACTTACCGATTTTTTTTAGGGAGCTTCTGCTGCTGGTCTGTTTCGGTTAATCACAATTCACAGTTCACATTTACTGAATCAAGATATTATTGAGCCATGTTGTGGAACGTATGTCTATATGCATCCAATTTTTTATATATTTTAGTACAAAATAATATCTTTGTATTGCATATTCCACTAAGATTTTATCGCTTATTTCCATAATTTTACCGCTAAAAATGTTGAGGAATAGGATTTATAAAAGCGATGGTGTTTCAAATTGTCAGGCATGTTCTGAATACGGGTGATATTGGTAAATTTGTCATAGTTGGTCAGAATGCTCGGAGTGCCGGCGTACGTCGAATTTATGCAGTAACAGGCGATTTAGCGATGGAAAGTATCTTGAAAGCAGAAAAACTTAATAGTGAATTAATTTTGGCGTTAAAGAACACTAATGATGCTTTTGTTGATACAAGAAAGTACATAAGGGTTAGTTAAGCACATATTTGTTGAAGCGAAGCTCCATTTTCAGTGTTGTATGTAATTTTTTTAAGTATTTTTTGCCTTCTGCCTAGGTTAGAAATGGAACTTTTTTAAAAGATCCTAAAAGTTAGAACTAAACAGCTCTTGAAAGAAATTGTTAGATACTAAAAGTACTGTATTCATGCTTTTTGCCTTTGAAATAATTATCATTTATATTTTTAGGAGTTTCATAAAGATCTTCCGCTGCCACTTAAACCGTCATTATATGAAATGATCAAATCGATTAAAAAAAGAAACAAACGCATCAGTCGGGAGCTTCGTTCACTACGTAAGAATTAGTGTTATCGATATTAGTCGCTCTGTTCTGGATGGGGTCATTTTGCTGTTTTATTTTAAATTTTCTTCATTTTATTAAGAAACTTCTTTATTGCCTTAATTTCAACTTTGTACTTTTTTATCATCATTTCTAACATATGAATTGTGTAGAAATAAATGGTGGACGATATGTTTCTTTACTGTTCACAGTAATCAAATATCTTTATGAATTTGAGAAATTGTTTGCTTGTAGAATGCTTGTTTTGTCAAAAATTTTTTACATTTGAACATCATATATGAAAGTTACTTTTACGCAAATTATTCGTTTTTTCATATGATGAGAAAAAATTAAATAGCGGAGAAAATTTTTATGCAACTGCTTTGTATTTTCTTTGTAGTATGTAAAAAGGAAAGTATTGTAAAAACAAGTTATTTCAAATAGCTGCTGACTGATACGACAAATTGTGATGGTTATTATGTGTTGTTGAATAAAGCATATGCGATTTGAGTGATAATCTCAGTGTATAATTGTTGCATAACTTCGAACTCTTAGTGTTTTTCACTGTGAATGTTTTGAGACATTCGAACTTTAATTTTTTCGTATCGTCTGTTTATAAACTATGCTAGTTAATAATTTCTATGTTTCTGATTTTTGCAGACAAATATTTGATGCGTCTTTCTCTCTTTGTTGAGCGCATTGTGTTCACTTTGTGTTGGCTCAGTTGTTAGGAAAAAGGTTTTGTATTTTCTTTTTAAGATTTACTGGACCAGATGGCGCTGAAGTGTGGTAGAAGCATCACTATTAATGTCAGTGAGAATTTAGGAGAAAAGGATTTATTGAGAAAGGAATTTTTGTGCATTTTTATATCTCCATCCGGTAACTTCCTCACCGGAATCCAGTCATTAATTATAACAAAAAATACTCAATTTTCGTGTATAAATGGTTCATCTACTAGCTAGTCACTTAGTTTGTCTTTATTCTGCGGTGTTACGACCATTACTTAATCTTATCTTGCGGCAGCTTTTCTTAGGTCAATGATTTAAGTCAAAAATGAATAAAAAGTGAGGGTTGTTTTTAAGCTTGCCTTCATAATTATGGAACAGTGATTACAAATTTGGAGATATTTGTCCAGTATTATATGAACTTTGTTATGGCACATTTTTCCAGCAACTAAATTAACACAACTTGGGACCAGCTCAAAAAAAGTCTGGAATCTAAAATAGCGGAGCTAAACTAATTCTGGTTGTTTTTCATGAAAAAAAAAGGTATTGAATACGAGATGAAAGTGATGCTATTGCCAAAATTATTTCTGTATAAGCAAGTCACACTTTTTACAAGTATTGGTTACAAGAATCTTCAATTATTTATGTCAATAATTTAACTCCGTTCATGAAAATAGATATTAGCGGTAGTCATTTGTCTTTGCCGGAAATTTCATCTTAATCAGCATAACAACGCATCTGTGCTAAGTGCAGCGGAAACTTTTCTTCATAATCCATCATAATTATAGGCCATCTGTTTTTTTTTACAAGTTGATAAAGGTATAATTGCTCTGGAATGGTGTAGCGCGGGAAATTGGCCCCTTGAGAGTGATATTAAAGCTTTTTCTCTCTCTTCAAGTTACAGGTGTCCGTGGTGCTTAATTCATGAATGGAATGAAAACGAAGAAAGCAGTTCTGCATCATAAATTTATCAGTGCTTACCTTTGGGGCGCCAGCCCAAAATGCAAATATATTATATGCGTGTATCAGTTCTATATATATATATTATATATATCAATATTACAACCTATTTCATTTTTATTTTATTATTAAAAAATGAGAAAAACGAAAACAATTTAATGTTAGAAGTGATTTTTCTTGTTAATTATTTTGCATACTTAAGCACTCTTTGTATTATTGTAGTGAACTGATTTATTTCATATGTGTTTTCAGATTGTCTGTCCTTTAATAAATTATTTTGGTAATTTTTACTGGAATATATGGACACTGAAGTAATCATTACTGCATTGATTTGTGCTAACTTTGTGAATATAGTTAAAAGTATCTTTGGTTATGCTTTTGATTAATTTGTGAGAAGTTATATAAAAATCACATTTATACATGTTCACTGCAGACTATGGTATTTTTCCGTAACGAACGCCTTTTATAATACGTACAGTCGATCATGCAAACGTACTGGCATAATTTATTTATTTGAATATACTCACAATTTGGCTTACAATCATAATGCAGAAATTTTCAAACAATCGCATAAGAAATGCAAAGTTTGCAGACGATGATCGTACTATCACAATCTCAAATATGTGAAAAGAAATAAGTCTGTAATAATAAAAAAAAAGAAGACTTTCGGCAGGAAATATTGTTAAATAATTGCAAAAGCTCCGCAAATAAAATACGTTTGCTATCATAATCTAAGATTTGAGGAAGAATGCTTGAGAAATACCACAAGTTCATGAATGAAATAATTAAAGAGTTGCTGTAGCAGTGCAATGAAGTGCTATTAATTTTTCAAGATTGAAGAAAACTATAAAATGAAGCATTATCAGTATTCGAATAAAATTTGGTACTGAATGGAAAATAAAAAGTCATGCATTATTTATGAAATTCATAATCTGTATTTACCAGTTTATTTATTTATGCTTCCTAATGATTCTATTTTTATTATTATTCCCAAAATTTAGTAACGCATTATTTATTACTTTGCATATCTTTGTAAGTTGATACTTTATTCTGCGATTCGTAGTGCATCTCATACCCTTCAAATTGATCATGGCACAAAGTTTACTTCTGCTTACTGTGTGAATGGTTTTAGTTGAAGATTTTGCTGAAAATTTTCCATTTTAATTTTTTTTAAACATATCATTCGAATCAGCAACAGTAATACTTCGAAATTGAAAAGGTGTTTAGCATTAAACAGGCAGTGCATTAAATTATTGCACATAGAACCATATAATTTTGCGTATTTATTTACATTCAATGATTCTTAAAAGTTGAGCATATATCCAATTAAAAAGGAGTTTATTAATAAGTAAATAATTAAATATGTTTCAGAGAGCTCAACAGAATGATAATATTTAAACAATAATCATTGTATACGCTATTATAAGTTGAGTAGTTTATAAGTCTAAATAGAAATAAAACTTTTCAGTGCGTGCATATGTAAAGATTAGCGATTCAAATTTTTGTCAGCATCAGTCATACAAAAGCAGTTTCTGCATTTTTCACTCAAATGTTTCAGTTATTATTTCGCGAACTGCAGAAGAAAAGTAATACAGCATCAAATGTTGATTTTGATATTTTTGTAAAGTTTTAGTCAGAGAATCTATTAAATGAAAGAAATTCAAGTTAGAAAATGTTACAGCTATTTCATTAGCAACTATACGTTTTCATAAAGATTTAAAATGTGAATAAAAGTTTTGGAAATTCCTAGATCTTTGAAACTTTCAGGTTTTTCATTTTGTGACTATTTTCTCGTAATAATTACTCATTACGAACAAAAAATGGTGTTATTTTTTAAATTAATGAAAATGTAAATATTAAGTTGACGAAAAAATTTCAGTATCTTCCATTTCTTTTCTAAATTCAAACTTCTTCGATACCAGAGAAATATTTAGTAACTCTTATCAATTTCAATGGCAATGCTAGCAACAAATAATTTTCTGTCATAAAAGTGGATTAACAACTTTAACCAAGCAAATTAGCTTGTCTTAATGATGATTGATAAATAGCTCCAAAAATATTTTTTTTAAAACTTAAATGGAGAAGATTTGATAAAACATTTTCAACTGAATTCCAATTCTTATTGCTCAAAACCATGTATAATCGTTTTGATATTTTCTCGATAACTACTGCTTTTCTAAGTAATGTACTACATTTAATTTAGCAAATGAAATATGGTCAAATTTATGTGTGTAAGGCAAATGATCACAGCTGTTAAAAGCTTGATGTAATTTTTCACAGTTTCAGTAATTTTGCTACAAATTCATAAAGAAGCATAAAAAACTCAAGACAATCAGTTGAAATGCTTATATCTTTTCATTTATGGAAACAACCATGGTATAAAAGTTTTTTAGAAAGTAATTATCGGTCTACCGTTTTATGATTCAGAACACAAACATTCTTGTTTCAGATGCAGGCAGATTTTTACAACGTTTTCGACAAATACTCGCAAATATAGTATGCAAAAAAATTGATTGCTAATTTGCTGCTGAGCTCAAGATAATTTTGGAGATGCTTTCAAAATGTCATGAAAGTTTCATAGAATTTAAACATCATCGGAGCTATTTAACATTTTTGAAATTATCCAATTTCGATATATTTTCTTGCTTATTTCATTATTTATAATACTTTCACTGCATTAAATTGCAATATAAATATTAATTGTGTCAAATGCAGCACAATTAATTACTGCTATGGTAAAAATTTCTTGAATTCTCTGCTTGAAATTAATGAAATCAACCAATTTTTTATAAATTATAAACAGTTGGTTGTCATTTTTAGAAAATTTCTTCACGTCAGCTTCATTTTTTCTCCCTTTAACTTCCTTCTAAACATTTATTCCTCAATAAGCATCTTCGATTACTTCAGCTCTTACTTGCATCTTTGTCATCTTTTCAACTGCCTGTTGAAAAATGACTGCAACAAATGATCATTTAAGCTTTATGACACTATCAATTAGTGTTGGACCTAATATATATCATTTGCTTTCATTTCTAAAATCTCTGTATATAAAAAGAAGTAAATCAAACAATTTTATTCAGCAAACAAGGAATAAATTTATTTCGGTGGCGCCGATGTTCATAAAATCCCTTGTGAAACAATGGTCACTTATTTAGCCTAGTCCCGTGGTCAATTTACTGCTTTTTTCTCCGCATTCTCTCACATTTCCTGGTAATTTCTGATGATTCGCTATTGAATGACGATTCTTGCGCAACAGATTCCACCTGTAAGCAAAGTTCACCGCTTGTGACAATAGAAATTCAGATATTGACCAAAATGATGGGATGAAATGTTACGTCACC